GATGTCAACTGGTGTTCAATGTTCTCTAAGTAAATACATTTGGAAAGCATTCCGGTTGGAGGTCTGGAAACTGAGCGGAAATATTCATTTCCTATGGGTGCATTTCCTGTTTCTCAATATTCTTCAGAGATTCGATTCGAAATATCACAATCTAGGAAAACATACAGCAGCACTTCTTTACCACAGTTGTATTTAGAATATTCCAAAGATATTGAATTGCCAACTGGTTTCCACATATGCAGAAACTCAATCTGACCCAAAATACTTATTTATACACCAAGGTAGTGAAGAATATCATTATTTTCCAGGCACCAAGATTGTATCCCGACGCTTCAGCCGAGGGATTCAAGGTACCATGATAATATAATAGTCTTTACTACCAAGGATTATATTGAATTTGTTTCATTTTATATTGATATATTTCAATCAATTCATTTATGTGAAACCGGAATAAGGCAATGACAGCATACCTCGACAAGTCGTTATTGATGAATACCTATTAGATTCGAGTGCAATTCCTGCAAATCTCTGATCAGAATAATGCATTCGCGTTAATTACAACAGAAATGGCTATGTCTTTATCGACCAGTGGTTTATAAAAACACACGCTTCGAACAGGAATAACTAATGGAAGCCTGGAAGAGATTACTCTCAGGCTAAGGCGTTCAGGCCGATAACACTTTCATCATTCATGTTGAAGAATATGGAGAAGTTAGTTGAAATGCATATCAGGGAGAACTTTCTCATTGAAAGGCAACTGGTGGGGAAACTTGAGGCCGCAATAAGCAACAAGAGCATAGCTCTTGCGGTTTTCCTGGATATTGAAGGGGCATTTGACCACACACCCTTCATATCCATGGTAGCAGCGGTTGTTGGGCGTGGCGTGGAAGACACCACATGTCGGTGGATAAAAAACATGCTACACAAGAGAACAGCAGAATCCACATTGCTTGGTGAAACCATGGAGGTGACGATTTCTAGGGGTTGCCCACAGGGAGGAGTTCTTTCTCTCCTGCTGTGGGATCTGGTTATTGACGAACTCCTGGAAAAACTTAACAATGTAGGAATCTACTCACAAGGGTATGCAGATGATGTCGTCATTCGGGTAGAGAGGCAGCTTCCCGAAATTATTTCAGACTTGATGCAGCGAGCCCTGAAGATAGTAGAGGGCTGGTGCAGAAAGGCAGACCTCAGGGTCAATCCTAGTGAAACTGCACTTGTGACCTTCACGAAAAAGAAGAAACTGGACAAACTAAAAGTTCCCAGACTTTTTGACACACAGCTGAGTATGACACAGGAGGTTAAATATCTGGAAGTAACCCTAGATGCTAGGCTAACCTGGAATACTCAACTGCGAAAGACTGTCAGCAAAGGCAAAATGGCACTAATGGCTTCTCGGAGAGCGATTGGTAACACATGGGGACTGAAATCACGCATGGTACATTGGCTATATACTGCTGTGGTGAGACCAATGATTGTACATAGATCGCTTGTCTGGTGGCCTAAGACTGAACGGAGATCAGCTATAATGGAGCTTTCAAAACTCCAGAGATTAGCTTGTCTCTGCATCACAGGTGCAATGCGCAGCACTCCTACCGCTGCTATGGAAACTATTCTCGATATTCCACCTCTTGAAACCTTCATCAAGGCGAGGATAGGGGCATACAGACTGGAGTGTAGTGGCAACTGGCATGCTCGGGGGACTCCCTGGGACATACAAAAATAATCAGCCAAGTTTCAAGCCCACTAATGGATATGGGAAGGGACAAAATGCTGCCCAGAAATAACTATTACAGACCATTCAACACTCAGCTCTACTGGGATGAAATGGTCTTGACTAACTGTCAGGAAGGCACGTTAGTGTGGTACACTGACGGTTCTAAGACTGATGAGGGCACGGGAGCCGGAATATATGGAGATAGACCCAGAACCAGGATGTATGCTTCCTTGGGGAGGTATGCTTCAGTATTCCAGGCAGAGGTGCATGCTATTGAGGCATGCCTGAGAGAGAATATTGTAAGAGGATACAGAGGTAAACAAATCCTCATATGCTCAGATAGTCAGGCGGCCATTCAATCTTCAACACGCAATAAAATCAGATCAAAGCTGGCCTGGGATTGCCTCCAAAGCCTGCTAACCCTGGCTAACCACAACAAGGTAACTCTTCAATGGGTGCCAGGGCATAAGGGAATTGAAGGCAAAGAAGCAGCTGACACTCTTGCCAGGCAAGGGTCTGCGACGTTGTTTATGGGACCGGAACCTGTATTCGGTATTTCCAAAACCTCAAGACGCGGCTGGCTGGCGAGGTGGATGCAAGAAAGACATCAGGCATACTGGAACAATGTCCCAGGAAAAAGACACAGTAAACTGATGGTTGGAACACTGTCCAAAACAGTGACTAACGACATTCTGAGCCTGAACAGGAGTCAGATCAAACAAGTGACGGGACTTATAACCGGTCACTGCCCCTTCAAATGGGCATCTATACAGACGAATCCATATGCAGACTATGCAATGAGGAGGAGGAAACTGCCACCCATGTAATATTGGAGTGCGAAGCACTAGCGCGTTGGAGATACAACCTTCTGGGAGCAGTAAACTCTCAAGAGGCATTTTCAAAGAATGATTTGGTGAAGAGGCTGCTAAACCTCATCAAGGTAGCGAACCTGTTCACCTAAGTCAACAGCATGATCAGGAATACAATAGGCCCAAAGGCTGCAGTGTTTTGGGCTTCAAACCCTGACTGATCATTCTGCTATTAATCAATCAATCAATCAATCAATCAATGGTAGTTTCGATAGCTAGTGGTGAGAACACTAAGTTATTCCGATAGGCAGCTCACATCCGGTTATATCCTGAAGTATTTATCTTTTTCTCAGAGTCGTAGCTAGGATGAACTTAATGGTCAAATCGTTGGCACATGACATAGAACATGACCTTCGTGCATATCATTTCCCGAATTCCAATTTGAAGGTGGAATGCATGTCTTATCAATTGAAGAATAGGATAATTCATAAACACTGCTAGCATAATCAATAATATTGATATATGTGATGCATCATTTAACCCTTGATTCGTATTCATTCATAATTGTAGGGAAACGGCTGAAGTGCTTGAACATTGCAAAATTTTGCCGACTTTAAACATTCAAAATCAGAATAAAAGTGGGGTTCAATGCATAATATATAATTTTCATCATGGAATTGAAATCACAATATCCTCAACATCGTTTCCAATCTCAATAATACAGGAGGGGGAGGAGGCATCTTGCTCATTACATTGGAATTTGATTTCTGCGGAATCTTCGATATATCTGAAATATATGACTGTGATATAATGAACTGGAATGTGTGCATACTCAAGAAACTACAGTTGCACCCGCCCATGATATTGATATCAAGAGACGTTCATTTATATTGGTACTTGAACTTTGAGACTGCGCAAGATACTTATGATTGTATACTTATTCACTTCCACTGATAACTTATTTGGACCATTTATCTACTGGTTGGTACAGAAAAACAATGAAGGTATTCACGTATAGTGTTCTATTTTCGTGTTCTGTTCACTTTGTTCTTGGAGGAAGTAGAAATTTTACCCCCATTGTGCTGTGGCATGGAATGGGTAAGTCTGTCACTCATGAGGTGAAATGATTAATTCTGTGGACTGTGGATCTTATTTCAAATTATCTCGGAATATTTGAGAAACAGAGAGATACAATCCTGACAGTTGCACGTTCTCTCTCATAATGGTTCGGGTTATATATGAAAAGGGTATCGCCATACCTAAGGGTTACTTCCTTACCCTGGCGGTCAGTTTCAAGAACGTTTCTCTCAAGGCAGATCCGTGCTTCAAACTTCACTTTATTATTCGTGACTCTTATATTCTGCCCGCCTTGAGAGCACGCCTTTCAACAACCAACAAAAACCTGAGCATAAAAACAAATACAATTAGTTTCTCATTGAGAAAAGTGTTCAACGTTACAGACGACATTGCATGAACTGTGATGCAATTATTGTCGAATATAGTTGTGTTGGTTCATTTCCATTTGTAAGACACACACCTTGGTGATTGCACGACAAACTACACCATTTTTCACAATCATGTCATGTCTTCAGGAAGAAATCCAGTGTTCAGAAAACTTTTTATTGCAATTAAACTTTCCTATCGATACTTCCACGGGAAATGTTCCTCGGACATCTCTGCTATCATCCATTCACTAGCAATACTAGTCAGACGAACTAGACAAGCCCAGTCAGCACATCCTTTTGTTGTCAACTTCGAAAGATGTCGAACAGCACTTTATCGAAACTCCTTCATCCATAGAACGGCTGGCTCTGGAATTCATTGCCTGAGGAAGTATTCCCAACAACATACAATCTCCATGAATTCAAAAAGAATTCCAATACCTACCTCCTCTTCCTATCTTTCCTAGGAACGCACGATGTTCTCCAAACATTATAGGAATTTCCTTTCGTGCGCTCCAAGCGATAAAAAAAAACGATCAGGACATATGGTGAACTTCTTCCGGAAGATTCTCGTTCTTGAATGTTTCGTACTTGCTGTTCGAAAGAGAATTGAGAATATCTCATACTGAAAAGATTCGCATTGGGCCTAAAAAATGATATTCATTACAAGTTTATTTATTTATACCCATGCGATAAAAATATAGGAAGAATCATTAATGTAAGTCTAGAGGATATCTCCATAAAACACCTTCCCCTTTGAGATTTCTTATATCTATTTAAGGATTAAACGACTTACCTGAAGGAAGTTCAATCCCAATTATACGAGATTGGTCACATCCGAATAGATCACTCTGTAGTATACCTCTTGTCACTGATATGCGCAAGTTTAAAGAATGAATCACACGTCGTCACCCCACATCAGCCTGCTCTGCTCGGGCACGCTTCAATATATTTCTTGCGCTGTAAGTGACAAGTTGTTCGAATCGAATAAAATCGAAATCAGTGAGTACAAGTGATAAGATAATAATAATTATGGGAAAACAATCCAGGAAAAGACATTTGGCAAGTAAGGACAAGAAGGAAATAAAACGAAAATTGAGACAATTAGAAGAAAGGCTCCGATCGTACTCATCAAAAAGTAAGTAACTACAACTTTCTTCTAGTGAGTTCTGGGTTTTAGACTATCTGAAATATGTGATTAAAACGTATGGAAAATGAGACTTCACAATAATTGATTATTGTTGATAGACAGGGATAATCTACTTTGTAGATATATGAGTACGGCTGCCGCTAACAGAAATAATTTGTGAAATCACCGTAAATATCCCGCACAGTCCTTGACTTGTGCCAGTCTTGCAAAAAACTGCGGGTCAGTTTTTTGCTTCGCATTCCATTCTGAATGTTTTCTTGGTACATACGATTCTGTGAAATGTAGTAGATGGACATTCCAATATGATTCTTGAGATTTTTCGAGCAGCTAACAACCAAACGAAAATATACTAAGTGAATTGACATGTTCATATTCCACAACAATGATTATCTTTTACTCAGGTTCGGAATCTGAATCCACATCAGATCTTTCGAGCATCTCCAGCGATGCAAGTGAGTACAGCAATACTGGGGTTACACATATTCTTGGGGAGGACCCTACTGGTGAAAAACGAAATGGACCTGACCTTACCGCGGACCTGACGTTAAGATGGAATAATCACCTCTCACAAGGGATAGACAAGGAAACAAAAACAAATCTTGAAATTTTGAAAAGGTGGTGAACCAAAATAACTAGTGGGTAGCTTTTCCAGTAGACGTTTATTCACTTCGAGGACGATGGTAAATTTCACAAGACAATCACAGAGTGCTCAGTACAAAAAAAAATGAGTTAGTGATGTTGACTCAAGAATAGTTGCGTTCTATCTAACTAAAACATGGCTTCCCTGAAGGCATATAATTTTATAGACGAAAGTTTTGATATTCTACTGTCGTGAGAAACGAAAGATAAAATACAATTTATAAGGGCACAATTTAGTATACTCTATACTTCTTTTCATTATAAACTGCTGAAGTTGATTTTGCTGAGACTGAACTTAGATACTCGAAGTAAGTTTTGAAATGGATATTTCACAAGTTTCGTGAGCTTTCAATGCTACGTGATTAATGAGAATTATAGTTTCAAGTGTCTATACTGAGAATATCTGATTATATTATATTTCAAGCAACTACGAATGATAAGAAAAAAATCCACGATAATTCTACGAACAAAATAACATTGAATAATTATATGAGGGTTTACAACACTTCTTCTCTTAAAAAAAAAGATCGAACGCCTATGTCGCCGTGGGATCTTTTGTACTTCTACGACCTACAATTTGTCTTGCACGTTCTGGAGGTGGATTATCTAAATATTCAATTGAATTTTTTGATGCTGAAACAGATTCCGGGGTACTAGAAAAATGCACAATTGGTTCATTATTGTACCTTGGATTTGTTGTTATATTGTCGATTCTGATACAAATACCTGGAATCACTTCACAGCATCTCCTACCTAACTTACATTTCTTGCAACAACAACAGCATAAAATAATACATAATAGAATAATAAACAAAATAGCTAACACACTATTAGCTGAAGATAACGAGTTTGGCATCCAGAAAAAATTATCTAGTTCTTCACCGATTTCAGAAAGCTTTTTGCTTGCTAAATTCAAATCATCTGAATGCATACTTACAACCTTAAAATTTGGATCTAAATGTACTTCAGAATAATTAATTTTCTTCGTGTCTTCTGTTTCACAACAATCATATAACAAATTTATCGGTGGAATGGAATTTTGGTTACTTTCATAAATGCTGGTATGTACTTTATGAGGTAGGTATCAGAAGAGCACTTTGAGTAAAAGCTTTACAATTTTCGGATAGAGCTAACATTCCGGTTCCGTGAACAAATTCGTTGTAAATTTGACTTTGACAATTTATGATAATACGTTCTGGAGAATTCAAAACAAAAATCCAAGTATTGGATAGAATTAATTGATGCCATATGTTTTGATAGAGAGAAGGTAATCTCTTATCACAATTTTCTGGAATTGTACTCGTTGCATGAAATAATTTAACTTCACAACACTCGTGTTGATGAGTCAATAATAAAGGAGTTTCTTGCTGACATACATAATGTGATTTCATGTATTCAATGCATAAAGAAAATTGTTCTTCAGCAAATAGTAAATATTTCTGCTTCATACTATTAATAGCCAAGTATTTGGTATATAGAGGGTTGAATAAAGATATATTTATTATCAGCTACATGAACTGGTAAAGGAGTAAGTTTGTAAATATCATATTCTTGGCTATATGTCATAGGTAATGATAAAATATAAATCAACTCACCGTCTGTATAAAAGACGCTGAGTTTGACGAAATTCAAGAATATGTAGGTGTTTTCTATTATTCGCATAACAGGAAAATGTAAATGATTACGTGCCGACATATTTTGGAGTTCAAAAATAAGTTTTTCTGGGGTTAATATAAAAGGATGTAGCTCTCCTGTCTTAGCAGAAAGAATCGCACTTATTAGGGATTGTGTCTCTAATTGATACTGTACATAGAGAATGATAAAATTAGAGAAATGTTCGTTTAAATTCAATCGTGCCTCGAAAAGAGCAAGTTCCTTGCCTTCTCTATTCAGGAATTCCTCAATTTTATCTGAATTTTCTTTCAATATTCGCTCATTTGTATTAAGAGTCGAAATTGTATGATTAAAATTCGAAATTGTTGTTTGAATAACATGACTTTGTTCTTTCAAAATAATAGCCAAATTTTGTTCATTTTTTGTGAACTGATTTATTTTTTGATTATAATATTCTGCATCGTCATCGTCTAAATTTCCAAACAAAAATTTTGAAGCTTTACCCACAAAATTGAATAAGCCTCTTTTGGACCTAGTAAAAGTTTGATTTGTATTGTGTCCTATTAATTGATTCTATAGATAACGCTTATTACTGATTTTATCAATAATTGGTTTTGATGTCCTAATGAAGTTAGAGCATAAATCTTGAAGGTTAAGTTTTTGAATTCGATTTTGACAAAAAGATATTGTTCTTGAATGATAATCTTGCAATACTATCAATTTTTGATAGTGTTCTAACATATCAACGAAATTAATTAACTTATATTGATCATTCTACAATTGACTGCTTCCTAAATTTTCAAAGTGTATACCCGAAGATTGCTTAATCTTTGTGATGGAGTAATTTTCGTGTTTTTGCTGTCCCATGCAGTGTCGCCAGAATATCAGTGAAAGTCTGTAACAAAAATATCCCGTTACTCGTGATACGGTTTTAATCTATTCTTGTGTACTTTGATGTAATGTTTTCCGCGTTTCATCGTACAATTTACATCTGAGTCGATTGAAACTATTCGATAAGGCCCTGTATATCGTGGAAAAAGTTTTTTACCAGAGACTCGTCCGTAAGCAAAACCTTGTCATTGAATTGGTATGTCACGTTTTTGGTTGCTTTATCATATGTGTCTTTACTGTTTTCTTTGCGCGCTATCAAATTTCCTCGTGCCCGTTCTCTAGTTACTTGAAGTTTCAATTTCAAATCGCTGACAAAATCATCGTATGAGTAAGAGAACGTGGGCGGTTGCGTTATCGAACTAGGAATTATTGCTTGTCTTCCGTACACTAATTCGTATGGAGTGAATTTCGTAGTACTGTGCGGAGTTGTATTATACGTAAGGACATTGAAAGTTATCCAATTACACCAATCTGTTCTCGTGTCATTAACGAAGCTTCTAAAATATTCGGCAACTGTCCTAGGACTTCGCTCTACAGAATTTGATTCTGGGTGATACGCGGTACAATAAAATTTTCTTATTTTCAATAATTTGCAACAATTAGTGAAAATTTCTGACATGAAATTAGATCCTTGATCTGTAACAATTGAAGACATTATACCATGTCTGCAAATAATCATGGTAACAAGTTTTGATGCTATGGTTTCTGCTTCCATATTTGGTACAGGAACGGCTTCTAAAAATTTGATTAACGAATCTTGACATGTTGAAATATACCTATATATTTCCATTTTCGCTTATCGGAAGTGGACCTACTATGTCAATATACACCTTTTCGAAAGCTATTTCTGGAGTGTCTGTTATTTGCAAGGGCATTCGTTGTCTTTTATTACTACACTTATTCTCCTGACATGACGTACATTTTTTTACAAAGTCTTTTATGTCTGATTTGAGATTTGCCCAATTATATTTTAGTCGCATACGTTTATATATTCTACTTACACCAGGGTGTCCTCCCGTTGAAATATTGTGATACTCGTGTTAGAAATCTGATTCTTGATCCTCCGTGATTTCTTCATCACAAATAACCTTGTTGTGATAAATATAGAACTCAATATCAACATGTTTGAATTAATACCTCAACATCATGCGAACTTTCTCCCATTTTATATGATTTTTTCCTAATTTTGGCAAAGAAAGTTTCTTAATTTTGTATTTGACTATCAATTCTCTTAGACTTTTCAGAGTATTGAAAATTTGTTCGTATGTTTCTCGGATCTCGTCATTTCCATTGATTATGAGCATAAACAAAAATCTGTCAGCAGTCGAAGAAACACTTGAAGCTGATTCCTTGCACACTATCGTCTCAAGAACTTTATTTTCACATTTTAACGATTTTACCAAAGATAGACTATTTCCGCTTAATTTTAGTTGTTCTGAAACTGTAATTGCTATGGAATGTATTACAGGTGACTTTAAAATACTGTCAATAAGTTCGGTAATCGATACATTAGGAAGAATATGAGATTTTACATGTTCGCAAAAATCGCTATATGACTCTTTCTCGTCGTGTATGATTTCTGGCGTGGTCATGATCATTCTTGAAAGTGCGTCTGCGTTGACGTTTGCCTGCTTTGAAAATTGGTTCAAAATCGTATTCGGCTAATTTCAATCTGAAACGCGTTAACCTAGAACTCGGATCTTTAATATTCTTCAAATGCACTAATGCCTTGTGATCAGTGACATCAAAAAATTGTCTTCCAAACAAATATGGACGGAAATAGTTGCAAAGCCATACTATAGCTAACAATTCCTTCTCGGTTGTACTATAGTTTCTTTCTGCTTGACTCAATGTTCTTGAAGCGTAGGAGATTGGTTTATCTTTACCTATCTTACCTTGTGACAGAATACCACCAATCGCATAGCCTGATGCGTCAGAGGTTACAATAAACGGCTTCGAAAAGTCCGAATACTGAAGTAGAGGAGGATTAGTTAATTTCAGTTCGAGTTCCTCAAAAGCTAATGTACATTGATCTGTCCAGACGAAATTTTGATTTTTATTCAATGAATTTGTTAATGGCTTGGCGATTTTTCGAAAAATCTTGAATAAACCGTCTATAGTAAGAAGCAAGCCCTAAAAATGATTTAACGTCCTTGGGGTTTTTTGGTACAGAAAAATTTTTCACTACTTCAATTTTTGATTCATCTGGCTGAATGCCATGATCAGTAATTTTGTGCCCTAGATAAAGTACTTTCTTTTTCAAAAACTCACATTTTACTAGACTCAACTTTAAATTATAATGCCTTAGTCTACCAAGAATTTCAATTACTTTTTCACAGTGTTCCTTGAGAGAACTACTATATACGCAAATATCATCTAGATACGCGAAAGCTTTGACATTTTGTATTCCCGACATTACGGTATTTATCAAATTCTGAAAAGTTGAGGGTGCTGACTTGAGACAATAGAAACAATAACTTACAGAGCTACGATGAGGAGCTGGAGCTGCATCAAGGCTTGCTTCTAGAGTATGTTCTTGGAACGAAGACGATTCTGGGTCAGAAAAGGGGCCGCTGAGTTCCAGAGGACGACTAGTTGTTGGACTCTCAGGTAATCTTCGCCAGGAAAGGTGCCGCTGGAGACAGATCTGCTTGGAGGATTGTTTTTTGTAGTTGAATTTACTTGCAATTGGAAAACTGCACTTGCGATTAGTCCAGGCAGGGTGCCACTGGTCACGATCGAAAAACAGTTTTTTTTTGTCCCACTATCTAATCGGGAAAGTCTTTTTCCAGTTCCGCACTAAATTCGCGGACTTCTGTTTTCTTGAACGAACGGTTTTTCGACCTTTTCGTAGATCCGTCACGACTCCGCCAATTTTTATAACTTGGTAGATACTCGTTGGTTTTTAAAAAATACACTTGATTTCGAACTGAAATGTATCTTGGATCGAGACTTTGGTTTTGAGTGATGTTACTTAATTTTGATGTGTTCGAATCGGAAGCTCATTCTTGTCTGTCGATTCCCAGTCGTGAATATGCATTCAAGACTGTTATCTTCAGAAAATGCTGAAAATGCACCTCGCGACTTCTCTAGAATCGCGTGGGCAGATTAATTTAATTTCTCGGATTTAATACAGAATAAACATAATACAGTCATAATAATTTTTGTCCTTGACATTGAATAAGGTAAAAATAATGAAATACATAAATGCACATGTATGTAAGTAACAAAACTCGAAATAGGTACTTATCTACTCCTGTTCATATTTCTAGAAGAGGATTACAACAAACGTTTCATTTGAATAATATGCAATTTTCAATATGCAATATAATAATATTTTTTATAATATTATAATATTTTATAATATGATAATATAATGAACTATAACAATAACTTTCACTAATATTTCAATCTACAAACTTTGATATTTTGTTGAAATTGGATATTTAGAAAAATTAGTAGGAAACAACAAATTATAAATTGAACAATAATACATAATTACATATATTCATTGGTTGGATGCACAATGGATTTAAAAAAAATCTGTGTGTGCAGCCCATGTAGCTTAAACTTAAGAATCAGTCATATATATATATACTGAGTTCCCTGCAATTTGGAATTAATAAGTGATAAGAAGACAATAATGAATAATAACCTAATAACATAACTGTGATGCATGTGACATGTGATGTGCAAGATTAGATGATTTATAAATCATTTACAGTCACCTCACTTTCTACTATCCATCTATTGACATGGTGTTTAACTTGTTTGTAGGGCTTATTTCTAAGGTGCAGTGGTAAAATGTTATAAACTTTTGGCCCTATATAAGCAATGTGCGCTTGTGTCGCTGAACGCGCCACATGCGGAACGAAGATATTCTGTCTAACTGCTGCTCTTGTGTTCAGTTTGTGTTGTAGTACACTTCTGTAATATTTTTTCATGATCATGAATCTAATAGTAGATTCAATATATAGCTGATCAATGTTTAGCAATTTGCTTTCTTTAAATAACAACTCGGATGGGAACAGCCTAGACTTGTGTAACATAATTTTCAGAACATATTTTTGTGCTACATGAAGAGATGACATGGTACTTTTACAAGCATTACCCCAAACTACCAACCCATAGTTGATAATTGACTCAACTAGTGCAGAATAGACCATCTTCAGAGTATTTACATTCAAAATATGTCTCAGCTCATAAAATTTGTAGATCAGTTTTCTGACTTTGCTGGTAACCATGTTAATATGAAATTTCCAGTTTAAGTTTTCATCAAGTAAAATTCCTAAATATTTCACACTGTCCTTAATTAATCTCATATGATTATATCAAGCAGTGAATTATTTTATAAGTTCAAACGGAATGTCAGGATATAACATATATATGTCTGATACCATCATTTCCACAATGTTCCCTATATATATGCTCGGATAATCATTCAGCCATACTCTTCAATGAGGAAATCATGTCAGATCCACTGCGAAAGCTGCTCTGCATGAAGTTGGGTTCTCATTCCGAGCAAATATCTACTCAAAACATCAACAGCTTCTCATGATTTAAAAAGCTCAGATACGGCCTTTTCCAGAAAATTGTTTCTACAAATGGAGTTCAGCATATAAACATACGTTGATGCTCTCAGATTCCATCTAAAGTAGAGCCATTTGTGGGTGATGCCACATTCACTAGTTTTCTAACATCATCAAAACACCGTTAGAAGGTGGACGACCTTCTACTCCTTTATAGATTCTCTCACGGGAAATATTTTTCGGAAATCTAGGTTATTATTTTTTCACATGCAGTATCAGTCAGACAAACGCGACGACTCCAGTCAACAAATGCTCTGGTTATTAGCCTTGAAGTATGTCGAAAAAATCTCTTCCAACACTTGTTTGTTCAATGAACGGAAAAGGTTTGAAATTTTTCTTAAAGGAACTATTCTCAAGAACTCACATTACTAATACATATCCAGAAATTCGAATAATTGTTCAATGCCTACTTCCTTTTCCTATCATTTCTAGGTACGTGCGACGTTCTCCGGAAATTATAGGGATTTTTTTCCGTGCGCTCGAGACTATAGAAGGAAATCACTCTACATCATCACATGATATATGTATAGTCGCAACCTTGAAACATCAACTTTTTTATGGATTACATGGGAACTCATACTTTTTTTCAATCGACTCGGCCGTTACTTGATGGAAATACATGGCAAATGTAAAAACTTCACAAACGATAAGATTTTCACAAAATTCTCAAACACTTGATATGTTTCGCTAACACAGTTGCTTCGTCAGGTGATTAAAATCTTATTGTTTGTGAAGGAACTCATACTATTTGGTCAATGCGCTGCCGCCTATATCTCCGAACCCTACCACTGCAATTCCAATCCAGGACTCCATATTTGAACGACAATCATCTTATATGACTCGAATCGAGCAGCAGGAGGGTTTTGCCGTGTTTTATCGGCACGCACAAACAAACCACAGTCATTGAATGAAATGAATTATGGATGACTATTCTTGTTGTTTCAAATCTGCTATAATTCGATGAATTTAGTGAACTTCCTGTTCTTGAGTTTGAAAATATCCTCGAATTTAATGAAGTAACTGATTCATGTATTTATTTCATAGGAGATACTTGCTGCTTTCCATTCAGCCTTGGAGCTCTACAAGAGAAACTGAATGCATCTCTTCCTGGAGTCCATATGCTGTCCATACGCATTGGAAACAATATCATCGAAGATATGGAAAATGGCTATTTCAAACACCCAGATGAACAAATCAAAGAAGCTTGTGATATTGTAGAAGCAGATCAGCTATTGCATGATGGATTCAATGCTATTGGACTGTCTCAAGGAAGCCAATTTTTGTAAGTAACCGAAATATTCGTTGAAATACAAAAAAATCATACGAATATTATTCTGAAATGTTCGTGACAACTAGATTTCGAGATATCAAAACTGATGTGAACTGTAAAACTGTTATAGAATCACCTATTTTCAATAGCATTATGGAAAAACTGTGAAGGCGGATATAACAAATGGAATCTCTGGCTGGCTAATCATTGGACATAAAATGATACTCACGTCGAAGGAATCTGTTATTTATTCGTATAACTTTCTGCAGAAATCAGAAATATACTTGCGCCTAGCCTGATGAATCGATTCGAAACGCAAATTCGCTAGTGGACTTTGTCTTGGGGCAGGTCTAGCCCAGCGCTGAACGAAACATCCAGAAGTGTCTCAATGATTTTCAATGAAGCTTTTACCGATATCAATCATTTGATAATATTTTTCTGCAGGGCCCTTGATTCTCATGATTAAATGTATTTCATATAGTGAATATATTCTTCGTCATATCTCATTATCTAATCTAATCATCAGAAAAATAGCTTGTTTTCCAGGTATGTATTTCATTCAGCAATATCTTCGGTAATTGCACATACCTCTTGGAATGCCATTGGGCTTGGTCTCACCTGAATTGATTTGATAGAGTGGGTACTATATCCATTTTATTTCCGCGAATTCTTCCTCATGTGGAAAATAACAATTCATACGAGTATAATTTTTGAGCACACTGAAAGAGCATAGTGAAATGATTCGTTCAGTTGGATCTTCAAACTATCATTGATTGCAAATATTGGAACGTCTTGAGTGGAATTTCGATTTTGGTGTTGTGCATCCATTAACCTAGGAACTTGAGATCATTTGAAACGAATCTAAATTGTACGCGTTTATCATCCTTCATTTTGTCCTGGACAATTCACTCTACCTCTCTATTTCGTATGTGCTTTGAGACACAATCGGTCAATCAGTGCTGTGTTATAGTGAGTGATACCGACCCAAGAATTTGAAGATAGTTCCTGAGATTAGTCAGTGACTTTCATCTATCGTGGAGGTGTAACACGTACAAAAAATCACATACAAACTTTATTCATTGAAATAGGACATTGAAAATTTTTCACACTGTTTTGAAGGGTAGTCACCGACTTCAATATTTCATTTTAGAGTTGGTCATAAGCCTTTTTATAATTTTGTCCTGAGTAACACATCATGCGCTTTCTTATTTGTTATCTCTGGGTACACAAGAACCCAATATATACGCGGTACTTTCAGGTGTCGACGCCGCACATGCGCAAAGAAATATTCATGCAGACGGCATAACTTCCGCTACTGTTAAGTTGCACTTTAGAATTGCAATGATCCATAATTTTGATGCATTTAATTCATTCCAAGAATTACGGCCGATAGCATAAAGTTTTTCAATAACTTAACGAGGAACCAACTGTTACAACTCATCAGCTGATAATGTTTTTTGATAGTTTTTGAGGGTATCTGAGTTGCTCAATTCGTTATCGATAGGTCGGTAGATAGAAAGAACAGGTACGTCAGGTCAGAGTTAACATATTGATCACTATAAAATTCGCATTTCCATCAAGTTTTTTCCAGAAAAAGTTACGATAGGCAATTTTCCCATCCAGGTGCCTATCTCTAGTTAGTCACTGATATTCAAATATGAATTGATAAAAATCATTTTGAGTGAGTTGAGACAGTGTTGCTCCACTAGTCCATCAACTAAATAACTTGACATTCCGGAACTGAAACTCTAGGTACATTATAATAATAATAATAATAATATGTTTATTACGGTTAAATGAACAATGCTATAATGTAATACAAATATAAATGAATAAACATGTATACTCACAGAAGCAAGTGATTGCTTGTGCGTGAGAGTTTACAACTACAAATACATAAACATTATCAAAACAAATATATAAATAATGACAAAATAGGGATTTAATGTCCATTTCATGATATATTCGACACAATTGGGATATATTTGACATAATCGGGATATTCGACACAATTATGCATCAATATCATGTCAATCGACCTGTTTCGTTCGACATATAGGGTGGCACATATTTCCAATACACACGCCGTGCTGACCAGATTGCGATATTTTTCATGATTCCACTTTTCAGTTGTATAAAGGACCCCGCACGAAAACACGGTAAATTGGCTCTCGGTCGAATTGACTGAAATTTTACTATGTTGTTATGCGATGGCTCATTAGAAAAATATGTGAGTTTGAGAAGTTTTGTATGTTTAGTTTCTGAGATACAAGCCGGCAAAGTTCGTAAAAACGTCGTATGGGGGTAGGATTGACAAAGAAAAAAACTGTGTTTCCAGTATAAATAAGGCAAAATGAGCTAGAAAATGTATTGATCGACACTCGAATACATGTCTAGTTATGATCACAAGAATTATAGTGAATCAAGGTGTATACGAGGCACGGTAAAAAAATTCATTTTTCTGAAAAAAAAATTCGAGCACTATTCCAAAATCAACAAGTTATATCTTGGTGGGACATCATAGTTTCAGTCGATTGTAGGCTTCGAAAACGTATTTCGATTTTTGATAACTATCTCTGTTCGAAATATGAATTTTTAGAATTTTGCGTTACACCCCTTTTTGAAAATAATTAAAAGCTTGTTTTTGATCACAAACAAAGGGATTGAGTGACACTGTTGATTGAATGGAAGCTGAGGTGACTCACTATAGCGAATTCAGTTGTTCAAAATTGCATTTCATTTAGATACAGGGTGTGATAGATTTTGTTGAAGATTATCTAACATTATTTCAATTGAATTTCTCTAAAACAGTTTCGTTAATTTGGATCTTATTCTACTAATCCTACTATCCTACTATTCCAGGTAATAACCCTATAATACCTGTAATACTGTAAACTCAAAACTGCATATCTCAGAAACGAAACATAAGAAATTGAAATACTTTTTGCATATGCATAGTCAACATTTTCAAAATAGTGTGAGAAAAGTGAGATCCAAATATTCAATTAAATCATTTTAAATAATCTTCAACAAAATCTAACACACCCTGTATCTAAATGAAAAGCAATATTGAACAAATGAATTCGCTAGTGAGTTTCCTTAGCTTTCAATAAATCAACAGTATTAATCAATCCCTTTCTCTGTGATCAAAAACAAGCTGCCAATTGTTTTCCAAACGGAATATAACACAAAATTCAAAGAATTCATATTTCGAACAGAGATAGTTATCAAGAATGTAAATACGTTTTCGAAGCCTACAAGAGACTGAAACTATAATGTCTCACCAAAATATAACTTGGTTGGAATAGTGCTCGAATTTTTTTTCCGAAAAATGAATTTTTTGACCGTGCGTCGTTTACTATAATTTATGTGATCATAACTAGACATGTATTTGAGTTCCGATCGATACATTTACTAGCTCATTTTGTTTTATTTATACTAAGAAAACTGTTTTTTTCTTGGTCAACCCTATACCCCCATACGACGTTTTTACCAACTTTGTCGGCTTATATCTCAGAAACTATAAACATACAAAACTTCTCAAACGCACATATTTTTCTAATGAGCCATCCCACTACAACATAATCATATTTCAGCCAATTCGACCGAGAGCCAATTTCCTGTGTTTTCGTGCCGTCCTTTCGACCGTCCTGATATTTTGTTTGGTTCATCAGGATCCATGATGGAATTTGATGCAATTCAATTCCTATACTCATTTTGGAATTATTGAGTCATCGCCTGGATAAACATCAATTTGTTTTTTCTTCTCCACCTTCAGAAAACATGTTTTTTCAACTGTCGGTATGGTATATACGATTCCATAAACAAAAAATCAGTGAATTTTTTTGTCTATATTCGAGTATATTTCTATTCATAATCTCGTAATTTTTGTTGCTATAAAAAAAAATTATTTTGAACAATGGGAGGAAGAAACTGAAAACTCCAATGCTTCACTTCATCAACTGCGAAAACTATGGAAGATTGATATCCTAGGCAAATCAACCATACTAATTGAAAATATTCCTACTATATAGAATCCTGAACTCAATATATGATGATTTAACCCAGATGACTCAATTAAAAAGGGTCTCCTGTCTGAGTTTCAGGATGATTTGATTAAATATTTGAAAACCAGTCATGCCATGTACTCTGAAAATATTTGACGTATCATGCGCTGTACGAGAGTAAAATGTCCGCTAAAATGCTCTGTGGAAAATGTCGAAAAAACTTGGGAAAATCAGCATATAAAATCGGATGTGCAGGTGAATGTAAACAGTGGTTTCACCGCGAGTGCAGTGGTGTTTCAGTCGCCGAAATCGATGACCTCACAAAGGGAAAAACCGAGTTCAAGTGCATACAGTGCAAAGGTTCGCCTAATGATGATGGTGATGCAGCTTTTTTTGATGCCATCGAGAACATTAGCATCGATAAAAAGGTTGATATCCATGTTTTTAATTATATCGTGAAACAAAAGGATATAATGATCAACGATCTGAGAAATCAAATTGACATATTAAACAATCAAATCGTACTTCTGAACGAAAGAAACAACGATATGATGCGCCATTCAACCGGGCCATCAGATAAAAAACCTCGCGACGACAAAAAGCCTCTCGAAGATAAAAACAACCTGATCCAGATTAAGGCAACGCTACCAGACAGTGTTGCCAAGCCACCGAACTTTCAGGAAATCTCAGGCAAGCTAGTCGCAAATGCAATCGCACACGCAGAAACACAGGAAAAATGCCACAAATACATAACCTTAAATGGTACTACTGAAAGTCATGACGTAACAACCGAGGCACCCATAAACGTGGAAAGTCATCCGCCATGGCAAACAGTGATCAGAAAACGTCCTAATAAAAGCAGACAAGTCATAACAGGAAACAATACGACCAATTCTTCCGTAAAAGGAGTACCAAAACTGGCCTCCCTCCATGTATACCGTATTGATAAGAATTCAACAGCAGAATCCCTAAAACTTCTGCTCAAAGATCATTTTCCAGAAGTAGTCTGTGAATCCATCACTCCCAAATACCCTGACCTCTACACATCATACAAAGTAAGAATACTGGAATCTAACTTCCGTAGAGCAATGGATCCCGCTATATGGCCATATGGAGCATGTGTAAGCCGTTTTTTAGAGATGAGGAAGCCAAGACCACATCCGAGCTAGGCTTTGATCCTGACATTCTTCTCCTCAATATCCAGTGCTTAAATGAAAAGAAACTGAACAATCTGACTATTGATCTAGCCGAGTTCAACATTAACTTTATCTGTTTAACAGAAACATGGTGTAAATCAGAATATATCGACTCCTATCACTTAAACAATTTTTCTCTGAGTAGTTATTACTGTAGAACCCAAATGAAAGGAGGCGGGGTCGCTATCTTCGCCAATAATAAATTGCAAATATCTCCTCTAGACTTAAGTAAGTATAACCATGACCAACATATCGAAATATGTGCATCTTGCTGCAAAACAAACAGTACCAAACTTATTATCCTTTGCTGCTATAGATCTCCTTCAGGGAACCTGAATCTATTCTTAGATACAATATATGACATATTTGATGATCTTTTCGATCACAATGCGAACTTTTTGCTTTGTGGTGACATCAACATTGACTCACTCTCCTGCTCTAATGAGTTTAAAAAACTATGCTGCATTTTAGAACCATTTAATATGAAACCCATGAATAAGTGGCCGACCAGAGTCACGTCCAAAACAATATCTTGCATAGATCATATATTTTCCAATTTCTCTGACAATGGAATTGAATGTACAATGGACAATAACATTTCAGATCATAGAAGTATATTCTTTGACACTGGTAACGCTGCCGATATAAATCATAAACCAATAGATGAACTAAGAAGATTCTACAGTAATATTTCAATTCAAGCTTTCCATGAGGATCTTAAGAATGAGGTATGGCAAGAGATTTTTTATGTAAGTGACTCTAACAAGGCCTGTGAATGTTTCCTACAAATCCTCTTGTATTATTTCAATAAACATTTTCCCAAAAGGAAAGTATATTCACCTAGGAATCCTAAAAAAAAGTGGGTCAATGATGAAGTTAGAACCTCCAGTGCGAAACTGAGAGACTTATATAGCTTAAAAATAACATATCCTGGTCTCAAAGATCTATACAAGGTGCGTAAATCGATGCATGATAAGTTGGTTCTCAATACAAAAAAGAACTATTTTCAAAACAAAATGAGTAACTCTGATAATCCATCCAAAACAGCCTGGCAAATAATTAACGATATGACAAACAAAACGAAAAAAACACATGAAATAAATCTTCAATATAACGATCGACTAATAGAAAACACAAATGAAATTTCCAACATTTTCAGCGAATTCTTTCACAACGCCCCCTTAGAAACAATAAACAAAATAAACAATAAGTCCGGTAAATACTTCTTGCAGAATATAGATCAGGTCAAAGATTCTATATTCTTGACTCCCTTCACTGAACTAGAATTATTGGAGCTGCTTAAATCCAAACTGAATAATAAATACTCTTCCGGTTATGACGAAATACCCACTTTCATCCTGAGAAGGGTGTTAGATTCGATAGTGAAACCAGTCACATATCTCATTAACCAATCCTTCGTATCGGGGATCTTTCCAGATTGCTTGAAAATTGGAAAAATATCTCCTATATATAAAAAGGGTGATCATCACCTAATGGAAAATTACAGGCCTGTTGTAGTACCAACGGGACTTTCTAAGCTCTTTGAATATGCCTTCCTTCACAGACTTCTTAGTTTCATAAGAACGAATGAAATTATATCTGATAATCAGCATGGTTTTACTCAAAATAAATCAACATCCTCAGCAATTCAATCATACTACTCGGAAATAGCAAACTATGTAGACGTAGGCGAGTGCCCTGTAGGAATTTTTATAGACCTGAGCAGGGCATTCGACTGCGTAAATCATGAAATTCTTGTCGAAAAACTGTACAGATACGGAATAAGAGGAATCGCTCTCGCATGGATATCCAGTTATCTATCAAATCGCTCACAATTTGTCTCTTTGAAGAATTCTCGGTCTAATGCCAAGAACGTAACCTTGGGAGTGCCGCAAGGGTCCATCCTCGCTCCGATACTTCTTAACCTCTATACGAATGATATAAATCAATTGAATGTTCCAGCATCCCTCACCTGTTATGCTGATGATACCTCGATAATGATCTCTGATAGGGCTGACAAAGAACTAATAGCCAAAATTGACAACACTTTCTCTATTCTACAGGAATGGTTTGCAAACAATGATTTGTTTCTTAATAGCAGCAAGACTTCATCAGTTAGATTCCATACGAGACAAAAACAATGTGATGATCTGAGCTTTAGGGTCGGTGAGTCAACCCTAAACACGAATCAGGAGGTTGTTAAATTCTTAGGCGTATTTCTTGATGAATGTCTTACCTGGAATAAGCACTGTGAATACATTGTGAAAAAAATTAATGTTATAAATTTTCAACTCAGAACTCTGAGAAATACCTTGAATTTAAATCAATTGTGCAGTATCTACTTTGCTCAAGTGGACTCACGTATCCGATATGGTATATGTTTCTGGGGGTCATCTACATCAGCGAAGGATATTTTTCTGGCTCAAAAAAAGGCTTCAAGAAGTATGATGGGCATTCAGAGAATGGATTCCTGCAAGCCTTTTTTCATAAGGTTGAAGATATCAACGCTGCCCTGCCTCCTTATATTTGAATTATGTATCTATGTATTTGTTAACAAGCAACTGTTTGCTCGCAACAGTGATAAACATGATGTGAATACTCGCTCGAGGAACGAATTCTATATTCAACCAAGCAGAACAAATATTTTGAGTAATACACCAAATATCTTAGGTCCTAGAATATTCAATAACTTACCTGAATATTTGAAAAACGCAAAAAAAGTATCTTCTTTCCAAAAATGCTTGAAATCATTTCTCATAGAAAAGTGTTTCTACTCGCTTAACGAATATTTTCATAAATGACCATGTTTCTCTCTTTTATATAATGTTCGTCTATCATATTATGTAATCTGTCATTCATCTAGTTTTAGATTTATACACGAAGAAAAAAAATCACTAGCCCTAAGTGAATATTTAATAGTGGCAAGTAAAAACTTGTATACTATATGGGACAAGGAAACAAGTTAATAACCACAAGAATATTTGTGTTCCTGAAAATGTACACCTACCAGTATTGACCTGTTTCATTAAATTTCAGAGTGATAACGGTTAGTGAACACATCACTTGTCATCAGTGACCTTTTCAATTGTCATTAGTGACTCATTCACTTTTCATCAGTGACTTGTTCACTAGTCATTAGTGACCAAATTACATGTCATTAGTGACTTATCTACTAGTCATCAGTGACTTATTCACTTGTCAATAGTGACTTATTCACTTGTCAATAGTGACTTATTCACTTGTCATTAGCTAGTATGAAAAAATACCTCCATTGTTCTCTGAAAAATGATAAAACCTTGGTAATAAGACAAACACACATGCATTCAAAACATTTTATTATATAGGTATGATGAATCCAGAAAATACAAAAAAGGTAAGGCTGACGACAAATATTGAGATACTAGATACCGCGTATATCAGCATCATGCACCGAGAAAAACGGTACTCTCACTCACTGCACTGCACTCTGGTTCACTATCTTTTTCCTTCCAGCATTGAAGATGAATCAACTTTCATACTTTTTAAACGTCACTTCCTTCCACTTCGAGTATTGTAGGAAGTGGAAAAACATCCTGTATATATGTAGAAACAATTATGTACTGTTCTAGAAGAGTTTTGTATTTCATTATCTCCTTCAAGAGAACAGATCAAGAACTCAACACCCCACAGCTCAGAGCACGGCCACAGAGCACGGTTCACAAACAGAGAATTCTCATACGAATATGATATACAGGGTGTAACTGAATAAGTGTAAAACATTTAAGGAGGTGATTCCTCATCGAAAAAAAGATAGGATCTTTCATATAAAGAAACTTCATTGGAGCATCCCTTGTTAAGATACAGCCCCTTAAAGGGGGTACATAAAATTTGTATAACAATTTTTTTCACAAGCACTGAAAAAGTTAGAATATTGAAATTAACCTGACAGCGTCATACCAATTTAATTGTCACTATCGCTAATAGCGACCTACTAGATAGATTAGTTTCGTATTTTCGCATTTATGACGATGTATCTCTGTAGTTGTTCGTAAAATAATGTTTTGCTGCTTACTGGTTTATTTTGGGCAAAAAACCCAAGAGACATTTTTTGTTTAGAATGAAACAGGCTATCGGAAATAAATTTTTGAATGGTAAACAAATAATAAGACAAAAAGTTACATTGGAAATAAATTTTAGGGGTTGCGTTTTTCACCCCTTACAACCATGGGGTAAACCAAATAAATTACTGGCTAAGTGTCTTTTTGGTAGTACAAAACGTCAGGTTAATTTCAATATTGTAACTTTTTCAGTGTTTGTGAAAAAAATTGTTATACAAATTTTATGTACCCCCTTTAAGGGGCTGTATCTTAACAAGGGATGCTCCAATGAAGTTTCTTTATATGAAAGATCCTATCTTTTTTTCGATGAGGAATCATCTCCTTAAATGTTTTACACTTATTCAGTTACACCCTGTATAGTAGTTGTTCGAAAGGGCACTTGCATGACTTGGAATTTCAATGTTACTAGCGGGAACGCAAGTATACTAACTTCACGAATGCTGAAATCGAAATGACGCCGTGGACTCGTGGACACTGGACAGTGATCGCGTTGGGCGTGGGTACTCGAATAATATCGGAGATGTCCGAACGGAAATGAGATCTATAACTACAGGTGAGCTGTCACCTGCAACAATCGACTTGATAGATTGTCTTTATTGATGAGTTCGCTCAGAGCAAGTGATCTTATGTCAGAAAAATAATTTAATAATAGTGAGTATTCGTTAACCTAGCACTAGTTTAGTGTTCACTTAGAATTAGCGAACTCTAAGTACATATCGACTTGGTTGATACCAACAAGTGTTCTGATCACTTACAGCAGAAACTTCGTTCCAGAAATATAGTTTTGCCTACTGCAAGTACCATATTTTCCTACCGTTGGTGAAAATGTTCTTGTCACAATCGACTTTTTTTCAAGAAAACAATTTACTTGGCCGA